AACTTTCTGAAGCCCCCTCACATATGTAATTTTTTTATATCAATAGATAACTTTTTAAATCCCAATCACCATGTAGTTTCAAATTGTCTATATTGTATGAATTTCAGTTTCAATTATTATGTTGAGAAGTGATCAGATACATTATATATTTCTAAGAAAAAAAATCGTTAAACTAGTTTTTATGTTAATTAAATATCTACATAGTTTCTAGTGCCAGCTCTTCCATTCTTGAAAGCCATCTTACATATTAGTTGTGCTTGCTATACTTATGTTGTTAAGTGTCGTCACGTCCGTTCTGACTCATAGTAACCCTGTACAGAGTTTCCAAGAAGCAACTGGTGGGTTTGAACCACTAACCTTGTGGTTAGTAGTACAGTGCACACCAGGATTCCAATGCCTTCTATAATGAATGCTAAAGAAGAATCTTCCAAACTGGTTTTGTTATGAAACAAATCTTTATTTTCTACTCTGTACAGTTTTACTGTTAAGCAAAAAAGTTCTTTTAAAATGAGAATTATTTTATTGTTTAGTTAAAACTCCCAAAACAAAGAAAACAGAGGATTAAAACATCATGCTAGGTGTGCCACTTCAGGATAACCAGACTCAATGGCCCACTCTTAGGGCTAAGTCACATTTTAGAAAGATCTGGCCTCATAATTGACTAGGTCAATAGTTTTCAGCTTGAACCTTACTTAGTTTGAATCCTCTGACAATTACGCTGCTGAATGGCAGGACTTTTAGCTACTGCAGTCATCCTACTGATAAAAGGGGTGACAGCAAAATTACCTCCCTCAACTTAAATTTAAATAGAGGCCTACGAAACTGCTTTAAATCCTGTCTCACAGAACAGAGATTACCTTGTCACTGCTAATCATTCCAGGAATTCTAGAGAGTTCCTTTGAATAGAAAATCCTTATTATTTAGGATCCTTATGAGATGACCTAGGATTTTCAAATATCCCAATCAGGTAAGGATGTACCACATATACAGAGCTGTACTAGATCCCTAGTAGCAAACCTTCAGGTGAATCTTAGCTGAAAACAACTTCAATGTTTCTCTAACCCCTCATTTGTTGCTTCAATTTACAGGATGGTTGGTATTGTGAGATACAATCAACTGTCTCCCATCTTAGTGCTTATCACATAGTATGTTCAGCAAGCAACTACTGAACTAGTCCCTCCCACTTGGTTATCTAGATTCTGCATCAATCTTCTGTTGTTACTGTTAAGTGCCGTTGAGTTGGTTCCAACCCACAGTGACTCTCTGTAGGGTTTCTAAGGAACAGCTGGTGAGCTTGAACCACCAACCTATCGGTTCAAACGCTTTGCAGTCTGGAGCATTAACCCGCAGTGCTAGGACTCTATCAATCCTCTAGTAAACATGAAATGCATACAATGTACTCTAACTGTTAAAAAATAGAGTCCTGGTGTACCGCTGTGGATTAATGCACTATACTGCAAAGTCAGTTTGAACCACAGGTTGGCGGTTCAAGATCACCAGGGCTATGAATTGAAACTGACTCGATGGTACTTAACACCAACAACTGCTTAAAAAAAAAAGTTTTTCCATTAAGAAAATTTTGAAATACCTTTAACAACTTTCTATAGGTACCTGTTCTAGTCCCTCTTATACAAGACAGTTTCTCCAATATATGAAAGGAAGTGCTTTGTCCTAATTAGACCAAAGCTCTATCACACAACCATTTCTCTCCCTTATGCTTTCAACACTGAGCCCTCTTTCTTGGATGTTTACCTCAAGGTCCGTTTGAGGTGCAAGGTCAGTGATTCAAACTTACCAGTTGCCCCTCAGAAACCTTATACAGGGTTGCTACGAGTCAGAACTGACTTGACGGCACTTTAACAACAACAACAACAATTTATTTGGAAGCTCCTAAAGCTTGGCCTAAGTCCTAAGCACATCATCCTAACCCTCTACTACCCCAAAGCGGGCAGTGACATCATTTTCAGAACCCAGGTAGACTTGCTGACTACTTCCCAGTTTGGAAATGTACTACCTAAAGACTGTAAAACCTCAAGACTGCTGAATTATCAAGCCCTGGGGGACTAAAAGATGTGAACACTAAACAAATATGCTAGTCACCTCCACTGCATGCCCAATGTGCTTCATTCGGTCCACATTACACAGAGCTTTCTATGATAGGCAGATCTCTACCCTTCACTAATTACAGAGTTGTTTGTAAGTAAAGCCGACCAAATTAACCATTCTCCTTACATGTACCTATTTCTTTAATTGTGAGCTCTGGTAGCGTAGTGGTTACGAATCGGGCTGCGAACCTTAAGGTCAGCGGTTC